GTGAAGTGTAAGATGTGTGTCAGGTTTACATAGCATACCAAAAGGTTCAAATAAAGTGTAAGATGTGTGTCAGGTTTACATAGCATACCAAAGGTTAAGTGTAAGATGTGTGTCAGGTTTACATAGCATACCAAAGGTGGATGTGAAGTGTGAAATGTGTGTCAGGTTTACATAGCATACTAAAGGTTTATGTGAAATGTGTGTCAGGTTTACATAGCATACTAAAGGTTTATGTGTAGTGTAAAATGTGTGTCAGGTTTACATAGCGTTCCAAAGGTTTGTGTGAAGTGTAAAATGTGTGTGAGGTTAACATAGCATACCAAAGGTTTATGTGAAATGTAAGATGTGTGTCAGGTTTATATAGCATACCAAAGATTTATTTACATAGCATTCCAAAAGTGGATGTGAAGTGTAAGATGTGTGTCAGGTTAACATATCATACCAAAGGTGGATCTGAAGTGTAAGATGTGTGTCAGGTTTACATAGCAAACTAAAGGCTTATGTGTAGTGTAAAATGTGTGTCAGGTTTACATAGTATTCCAAAGGTGGATGTGAAGTGTGAAATGTGCATCAGGTTTACATAGCATACCAAAGGTTCATGTGAAGTGTAAAATGTGCGTCAGGTCGATATAGCATACCAAAGGTTTATGTGAAGTGCAAGATGTGTGTCAGGTTTACATAGCATACCAAAGGTTTATGTGAAGTGTAAAATGTGTGTCAGGTTTACATAGTATTCCAAAGGTGGATGTAAAGTGTGAAATGTGTGTCAGGTTTACATAGCATACTAAAGGTTTATGTGAAGTGCAAGATGTGTATCAGGTTTACATAGCATACCAAAGGTGGATGTGAAGTGCAAGATGTGTGTCAGGTTTACATAGCATACCAAAGGTTTATGTGAAGTGTAAGATGTGTGTTAGGTTTACATAACATACCAAAGGTTTATGTGAAGTGCAAGATGTGTGTCAGGTTTATATAGCATACCAAAGGTTTATGTGAAGTGCAAGATGTGTGTCAGGTTTACATAGCATACCAAAGGTGGATGTGAAGTGTAAGATGTGTGTCAGGTTTACATAGCATACCAAAGGTTTATGTGAAGTGTAAGATGTGTGTCAGGTTTATATAGCATACCAAAGGTTTATGTGAAGTGCAAGATGTGTGTCAGGTTTACATAGCATTCCAAAAGTGGATGTGAAGTGTGAAATCTGTGTCAGGTTAATATAGCATACCAAAGGTGGATGTGAAGTGTAAGATGTGTGTCAGGTTTACATAGCATACCAAAGGTTTATGTGAAGTGTAAGATGTGTGTTAGGTTTACATAGCATACCAAAGGTTTATGTGAAGTGTAAGATGTGCATCAGGTTTACATAGCATTCCAAAGGTTTGTGTGAAGTGTAAGATGTGTGTTAGGTTTACATAGCATACCAAAGGTGGATGTGAAGTGTAAAATGTGTGTCAGATTTATATAGCATACCAAAGGTTTATGTGAAGTGTAAAATGTGTGTCAGGTTAACATAGCATACCAAAGGTTTATGTGAAGTGTAAGATGTGTGTCAGGTTTACATAGCATACTAAAGGTTTATGTGAAGTGTAAAATGTGTGTCAGGTTTACATAGCATACTAAAGGTTTATGTGTTGTGTAAAATGTGTGTCAGGTTTACATAGCATTCCAAAGGTTTGTGTAAAGTGTAAAATGTGTGTCAGGTTTACATAGTATTCCAAAGGTGGATGTGAAGTGTGAAATGTGCATCAGGTTTACATAGCATACCAAAGGTTCATGTGAAGTGTAAAATGTGTGTCAGGTTTATATAGCATACCAAAGGTTTATGTGAAGTGTAAAATGTGTGTCAGGTTAACATAGCATACCAAAGGTGGATGTGAAGTGTAAGATGTGTGTCAGGTTTACATAGCATACCAAAGGTTTATGTGAAGTGTAAGATGTGTGTCAGGTTTACATAGCATACCAAAGGTGGATGTGAAGTGTAAAATGTGTGTCAGGTTTACATAGCATTCCAAAGGTTTGTGTGAAGTGTAAGATGTGTGTTAGGTTTACATAGCATACCAAAGGTTTATGTGAAGTGTAAGATGTGTGTCAGGTTTACATAGCATACCAAAGGTTTATGTGAAGTGTAAGATGTGTGTCAGGTTTATATAGCATACCAAAGGTTTATGTGAAGTGCAAGATGTGTGTCAGGTTTACATAGCATTCCAAAAGTGGATGTGAAGTGTAAGATGTGTGTCAGGTTTACATAGCATACCAAAGGTGGATATGAAGTGCAAGATGTGTGTCAGGTTTATATAGCATACCAAAGGTTTATGTGAAGTGCAAGATGTGTGTCAGGTTTACATAGCTTTCCAAAAGTGGATGTGAAGTGTAAGATGTGTGTCAGGTTTACATAGCATACCAAAGGTGGATATGAAGTGCAAGATGTGTGTCAGGTTTATATAGCATACCAAAGGTGGATATGAAGTGGAAGATGTGTGTCAGGTTTACATAGCATTCCAAAGGTTTGTGTGAAGTGTAAGATGTGTGTTAGGTTAACATAGCATACCAAAGGTTTATGTGAAGTGTAAGATGTGTGTTAGGTTTACATAGCATACCAAAGGTTTATGTGAAGTGTAAGATGTGTATCAGGTTTACATAGCATACCAAAGGTGGATGTGAAGTGCAAGATGTGTGTCAGGTTTACATAGCATTCCAAAAGTGGATGTAAAGTGTAAAATGTGCATCAGGTTTACATAGCATACTAAAGGTTTATGTGAAGTGTAAAATGTGCGTCAGGTTTACATAGCATACCAAAGGTTTATGTGAAGTGCAAGATGTGTGTCAGGTTTACATAGCATACCAAAGGTTTATGTGAAGTGTAAGATGTGTGTTAAGTTTACATAACATACCAAAGGTTTATGTGAAGTGTAAGATGTGTGTCAGGTTTATATAGCATACTAAAGCTTTATGTGAAGTGTAAGATGTGTGTCAGGTTTACATAGCATACCAAAGGTTTATGTGAAGTGTAAGATGTGTGTCAGGTTTACATAGCATACTAAAGGTTTATGTGAAGTGCAAGATGTGTATCAGGTTTACATAGCATACCAAAGGTGGATGTGAAGTGCAAGATGTGTGTCAGGTTTACATAGCATTCCAAAAGTGGATGTAAAGTGTAAGATGTGTGTCAGGTTTACATAGCATACCAAAGGTGGGTGTGTGAAGTGGTAAAGTGTAATGTGTGTCAGGTTTACATAGCATACCAAAGGTTTATGTGAAGTGTAAGATGTGTGTCAGGTTTACATATCAGGTTTACATAGCATACCAAAGGTTCATGTGAAGTGTAAAATGTGCGTCAGGTTTATATAGCATACCAAAGGTTTATGTGAAGTGCAAGATGTGTGTAAGGTTTACATAGCATTCCAAAAGTGGATGTGAAGTGTAAGATGTGTGTCAGGTTTATATAGCATACCAAAGGTTTATGTGAAGTGCAAGATGTGTGTCAGGTTTACATAGCATACCAAAGGTGGATATGAAGTGCAAGATGTGTGTCAGGTTTATATAGCATACCAAAGGTGGATGTGAAGTGTAAGATGTGTGTCAGGTTTACATAGCATACTAAAGGTTTATGTGAAGTGCAAGATGTGTGTCACGTTGATAAAGCATTCCAAAAGTGGATGTGAAGTGTAAGATGTGTGTCAGGTTTACATAGCATTCCAAAGGTTTGTGTAAAGTGTAAAATGTGTGTCAGGTTTACATAGCATACTAAAGGTTCATGTGTGTCAGTTTACATAGCATGTTAAATGTGTGTCAGGTTTACATAGTATTCCAAAGGTGGATGTAAAGTGTGAAATATGTGTCAGGTTTACATAGCATACTAAAGGTTCATGTGAAGTGTAAAATGTGCGCCAGGTTTATATAGCATACCAAAGGTTTATGTGAAGTGCAAGATGTGTGTCAGGTTTACATAGCATTCCAAAAGTGGATGTGAAGTGTAAGATGTGTGTCAGGTTTACATAGCATACCAAAGGTGAATATGAAATGGAAGATGTGTGTCATGTTTATATAGCATACCAAAGGTGGATGTGAAGTGTAAGATATGTGTCAGGTTTACATAGCATTCCAAAGGTTCATGTGTAGTGTAAAATGTGTGTCAGGTTAACATAGCATTCCAAAGGTGGATGTGAAGTGTAAGATGTGTGTCAGGTTTACATAGCATACCAAAGGTTTATGTGAAGTGTAAAATGTGTGTCAGGTTTACATAGTATTCCAAAGGTGGATGTGAAGTGTGAAATGTGCATCAGGTTTACATAGCATACCAAAGGTTTATGTGAAGTGTAAGATGTGTGTCAGGTTTACATAGCATACCAAAGGTGGATGTGAAGTGTAAGATGTGTGTCAGGTTTACATAGCATACCAAAGGTTTATGTGAAGTGCAAGATGTGTGTCAGGTTGATATAGCATACCAAAGGTTTATGTGTAGTCTACAATGTGTGTCAGGTTTATATAGTGTGTGTCACATTGTGTTTATGTGAAGTGTAAAATGTGTGTATAGGTTTACATAGCATTCCAAAGGTTTACATAGATGTGAAGTGTAAAATGTGTGTCAGGTTTACATAGCATACCAAAGGTGGATGTGAAGTGTTTAAATGTGTGTCATTATACCCAAGACTATATTTATACACTAAATGTTCACAGATAACATGACGATTGAATCAATAATTTGGCAAAAAAAATTCAATTAAAGTTGTAAAATATAGGAAAACCAACTGCGATCAGCAAGAAAAATGACAATTCAGATATGTAGTCAATTTAGTTATATAGTATTCTCAAATGAAGTCAGGGAGTACATGCATCTCAATGGATTACAAATGTTTGGATATGAAAGTCAAAGCATTTTTAATTAACTAAAAAAAAAAATCATATTTATCAAAAACCAATACTGAAACATCTGTCCAATACCTTTGAAAATATCACAACCCTAACTAAGCTCAAAACCTTGTTTTTGCTTTTTAGTTACCAATGTCTTTGCTTCATTATCTTCAAGGGTTTTAATATCATTTTGAAGTGCAATCAGCTCTGCCAGCAATTTTTTCCCAAACTTCTCAATTATGTTATTCCTGTCAAAATGTCAAAAGCAAATAGTATTTCTTAGTTGTTAGTAAATATAATCAATTATTTTGATATTTCACATTCAATGAATTCATTGATCATTCCAATTTTTTTGTTAGATTCTTAACAAAATATTGGTGCACATTTGATTGTTCTTATAGTTTTTTGAAAAATAAGAGGCCTTTGTGCTTAAACTGTCCCCTGACATGAATCCTATCACTCTTTAATACTGGTAGTTAGAACAGTTATTACATTATTCAAACACTTTTCAATTTTAGCAATTAAGTCAACAAAATGAACACTTTCATTTCAGTTTCTTAACATCTCAATTTTATTTCCTTTGACATCAGAGAAACTGCCCCGCCCTGCCCTGCCTTGCCCTACCCTGCCCTGACCTTGAACTCCAGCTGTACGGCTCATGAGATCATGCGTTTGATGTCCGAGTAGGGCATGAGTAAAAAACTGTTGTCCTTTGATAACTGTGTTACAATGTCCAAAATATTGACAAATTAATAATGCATCATATACAGTAATGTTGATCCAAAGGTTCCAGATTTGAATTGCCTGTCATAATTGTACCCGAGTTTCATGTGTGTTGTATGTACAATATGTATCCTTGTATGTATATACATTGCGATTGAGATATTAATATTATGCAATTAGACAATTTACCACTATGATCATGCTGAGAAATTCCAGCTGTCTATCAGTACAACTTCCAAACATTCTTTTTTGGGGATGTTGTGGTGGTGCAATGGTAAGGCAGTCTGGAATTTCTTGGCTAGGTGATTTGGTGCTGTAAAACTTGAGTTTGAGGTCTGGGCAAGGCACAAGTCTTCCTTTATTAAAAAATTAAAAAATTGTCAGAAATGTTGTTGATAGGAACCTTCCAGTATTGCTATACCTTCTTTCTGTCCTGTCTGTTAACATGTTTCTCAAATGCCTCTGACTAGACTTCAGAGTTGTTTTTGTCAACACATCTACACAATGCTGCTTTGTCTGAAATATTTAAAAATAAGATTATATAGAAAATGACCAATCAAAAGTGAAAGTAAAACTTTTGAAAGATGTTCAATTAAATGTTTTCAAAATAAAATCCATATAACTATAAGGAAGTAAAATAAAACAAAATGCTTCAACTTTAAGACCAAAGAGCTTATATGTCAATTTTAGCTACAGTCCAGCGACATCAACATTTAATGTATAAACTTGCTTTTCCCTAGATATGCATCATTCCCCTGTCATACCCCATCTCCTTAAAATATATTATAAAAGCCATGGGCCATTACACAAACAAATAAATTTTGCAGAAAATTCTTGAGAAGATTCCTATAATCATGGGGTCTTATTTGGTTACCATGGCAGCCATAACTATCATTCTTAGAAACCGTTATATATCAATTTCTGGCATAATCATACAATCTAGATTTCAACAAAATGCAAGCCTTCTTATGTTTCCATAGTAACTGATCTCGAAACAGCTGATGTGTCAAATGATTGGCTTTGAAAAGTTAACCATTTGACAGAGTTTCATTACAACTGATCAAAGGCCTGATATCCTGAGAACCATTACACAATAACCTGGGTACAGTGTTCTAGTTACTGTACCACGGCAACCAAAATTTCTGCAGAGAACAACCTGCATGCATGATTCCTAAAATTCCTGTGTAGTTCCGTTAAAATTGCTTCACAAATGAAAGTGGAGTTGTTCAGACAAATTTTTTTGATGGACAGACCCATTGATTTCCCTCCCACTCTCCAACTTTGTTGAGAGGATACAAAAAGCTAACAGTAAGTGGCAATTAAAAGTAGTTTCACAATTTTTTTCCTATGAAAAGACATCAGCTAAAAGACCATGGGTAAAGGCAATTTTTGATAGACTTATACTTTACAAAAGCCTGAGACAAATGGAAACATGTCGGTGGAGGAAGAAGACTACTATGCAATTTTTTGATAGAGCTTTGGACATATACAGTAAAAAGAGTCAATTATTGATTTAGTTTTGTCTCAGAGCTGCTACAAAATGTACCTGTATTTGCTTCTGGAAATCCATCCCAAAAGCTTTGACAATCGTGGAAACACCAGCATCTATACCAACACCTTCGAGGTGATTCACTGAATTACCCAACATCTCATCTGAGTTTGTGTTATGTTCTGAGGTAGTACACAAGTCTTCTTCATCTTCATTGTCACTACTGTCAGTGATTTCTACAACAGCTGAATGTTGATTTTGTATTTTATGACATGGAATGATATCACACTTTGTACATTTTCTTCTAACATCCATGAATGTTTAGAATACAATACAAATCTCCATGATCAGTGTAAAATCTGAGTTAGACTTTTGGCAGAATTATTTGTCAAGTAACCTGATACTCCATTTATATCGAGTAACCTTGATATTTGACTTCTGAGTCCAAAATGATGTCTATATATATAAGTTAAGGAAGCAGTGTATATAAACAACAGTAAACAAGTCTAACATGAATGCCCCTGTTAGATTAATTGGCAGAAGTTGTCAAAATCTAATATACAATGATGAAATTGTAGAACCCAATCTGTTCAGAACTTCGCAAGATATAACATGATTTTGGAATGGGGAGGGACAGGATAGGATACAATATGTTGGGATTGACATAGGTATTACTATATGCCCCCTCCCCATAAAATTATGAGGGCATAAAACAATTAAAAATGTTTTTTTATTTTTAGAACCAATGACCTATTTTAACATGCTCATTTTATAACTTTGTTCCAGGATGCACGAAAAATAATATTAATATATCTGATAAACAGTATTTGATATTTGCTTACATCACATGTTCCCCACAAATGACAACTTAATTCATTACCTTTAAAATCAGAACTGAATAGTCTTCTAGGTCTGAGATGAGACATTTCCACAGTATAACTAGCATTTAGATGGTTTCTGCACAGATCACTTTCATCACCACACTGAAGTATGCTGTGTTGAATGTCAAAGATGTCTAAGTGTTATTACTTTTATTCAGTTACAATCTGAGACTTCCACCAACTCTGTAGCAATAGGAACAAAAACTTCACTTGAGATGATACATGTAGAAACAATTATTACAGTGCATGAATCAATGAAAAGAAACACAAAGATATTCAAAAGGATATATCATATTTCCTCTTCATTGATGATCTGGAAGGTCTTAATTCTGTGGAGTATCCTGAAATCAAACAATTGGTATTGTCAAAATTCTACTATCAAGCCAAAAACTTGTTTATTCAGTAATTTAATGCATTTAAAGACTAACTAATGTAAGCAGGATAAATCGCCAAGAAGTACATTTTATTGAAGAATATAATTTGGTTAATCAACAAATAGTTATTACAGTGCATGAGTAAGTTAATTTGTTTTGACAGCCAACTAAATTATTTAACAGTCACCTTCCCCATCAAACATCCAAACGATCCTGAAAATTGTCATTTACATTAACATTACAATCCTTACTGTTTTTTTCAACAACAATCTTCAGTAATCAGTAACAGCAGTGAATTAAATGTAAGCAATAAATCAATTTTATTGGGATCTCTGGACAATCTATCTGATAATTAAAAGCAACATGTATAACACTACATGTACCTGATACGAGTCCTGAGAGGTCAGTATCCCTTGTTTGTTGTAACAACTTGTTACTTCGGCTCTTGTTACATTCTGTCTTTGCTTCCTGTAATATTACAAAACTGCAAGTATTCAATATCTGGTAACACCAATACAGACAAAATGAAGTTGAATATGAAAGTACTACATACCGTTTTAGTTTGAATTCAGGACACAAGTTATTGAAGGTTTTTGTTATTTTTTTATTGTCCATTAACAGTTATGGAAGCCAATCATTGAAGATTGGAAATTAGATTCAATACAGAAAGATAAAAACAAACATAAGCAAGAGTCATCCGACTATAGGGCCAGTATATGAAAGAGGCTATGTAGGCTTGATAAGCTTAACTACTCTACAGCTTACAAAGAAGACTTTGTCGCTTCATAAAAACATTTCCTGCAAATATGAAATCCTGTTCCGTATACATGCTACTAAACAAATACCATGACTTCAGACCTATTGCTTGTGGTAAAAAGAAATCTTAAGATCTCATCACATTTGACCCTCGAACCCTTGAATAAATCTAATAGTCCTTCATCCAGTAAAGGACTAATATAAACAGCCTGAACATTTTGGTTATTGAGAAAAAGTAATTTAAAGATTCTAACACATTTGAACAATGTGATCTTTGAAAAGGGTCAAGGTCAATCGAATGAACAAACTTGGTATCTGTTCATCCTAGCATTTAGGTAGAATATCAGCCCCTGGGGACTTTTGAGAATATTGAGTCATGTAAGATTTTAACAAATTTGATCTCTGTGACCTTGAGAGTGGGTCAAGGTCAGTCATATGAACAAACTTGGTAGCCTCTCAACCCTGCATGCTACTACTCCAATATCAGCACCCTGGGACTTTTGCTTACTGAGAAGAAGCCATTAAAACATTCTAACACATTTGACCATGTGACCTTGAAAGTATGTCAAGGTCATTCATTTAAACAAATCTGTTAGCCCTACATCCATATATGCTACTAGCACAATATCAGAATCCTGGGACTTTTTGGTTACTAAGAAGAGGTCAGTTTAAGATTTTAGCACATTTGACTTTTGTGACTTTAAAAGTAGAGACTGAAAGAAACCTCTGGACAAGATTAAAATGCTGAAAAGAAATTTGGCCACATCAAAATGTTGTTATGAGAACAAAAACTCATGTGGTGGTTTTAAAAAATCCTTCTGCTTTAAGTTTTGGTTAAAGGGGGAAATACCTAGATATGATAAAAATGTTAAAAAGAAAATAATTGGCTATAACTTGTGAAATCAAAATGACATTAGGGAAAACAAAAATAAAAAAATAAATCCTTTGTTATTAGCTTGCTATATACTGAAACCAACTATATGTAAGCAGTAAATCATTGCAGCCCATAAAAAATGACCAGCAGATATCAGAAATAACAAGCATAGTAGTATTACTTATGTAATACATGTCCCAAGTAGGCTCCAAGATGCAATGATAGGGAAGTTGTCCATTTCTTTGGATACATTGTAGGAAATGTTCATCTTGGACACCATATTATCACTTTAAAGACTGCGTATCTTATTGGTTTAAGACAATTAGTTAGACCATCATGCAAATAACATGCTACATACAAATATCGGCCAGCTTCATTTTCCAGATTGTCTGTAAATGACTGCATAAGAGTGCCAATTTTCTAAAACAAACATGATATGTCACCATAACTTAAAATAAAAGATGCCTGTTCTTTCGGAACACCTGGTCTATTCTCCTTGTACTTTTTCAGGGAATCTTCGAGTAGATATTGTCTTTGTTTCAATTTTACACTTGTTTTGCTGGTTCTACAATTCTGTTGACATGTTTATATATTCTTTGTTCTCTAAAACTTGTCGCAAGATATTTTATTCCTCTTGTATTATCATTTTTTAACATCCTAACAGTGACCTTGAACCTTGAAATTTGCAAGATGTGAATATCTTCTAGGTTGTGAAATTTGATAGAAAAATGAGGGTAATGCAAAGAACACCCCTATGCATCTATCCGTTTTTTGACTGTGACCTTGATCTTTGACATCTGACCCTGAATTTCTAAAGAAACTGACTTCTCATAAGGGATACATGTTCCAAATTTGATTAAGGTATACTGTCTTAGTCTCAATGCGTTTACAAGGTAATCATATAGTACTTATGCAAGTACTGTGACCTCTACATTCAATCCTCAAAATCATTACTATATCCTCTCCACATTGCCCAGGGATAACTGAAACTGTAATCCAAATGATAACTAATACCCCCAACACCCACAGCCTTAGCTATCTCCCCATGGTGACCTTTTGCACAGAAACATCCTCTGAAACACAGCGGCATGTGCACGTTCCCCAACATTCCTGCAAAGTTTTGTTGAAATTGGTCCACAGGTTTAGAAGTTGACCGACGAGCAAAACCCGTCTATATTGACCAGTTGCCATGGCAATCGATATTTCGAGGGAAAATGGTGCATGCACATCTACACAGTGTCCCGAATATTACTGATAAGTTTCATTGGAGTTGTCCAGACAAGATGTGTCTACAGACAGACAAACAGATGGATGGACTGATAGACAACCTGATTCCAGTTTACCCACCCTTTTGGTGGTATAAGAATGCACAAGAGTGCTTACAAATTCCATGTGGACAGACATTATGGAAAAATAATAATAATAATAATAAAACATGATACAGATGCTTATATCTTGTTTTATTCAGTTTTTAGATACAGAATTCTTTCCATGCTTTGATCAGCAATGTAATCTTGTCATGTCAATATCCTAGTACAAGATTGCATACACAAAATTGTTGTAGGTAGACTTTTAAGATACATAAAAAAATATATGCCTAAGTTTAAATGAAGGTTTTAAACAGAAGTCGTATTATGTTCAATATACAGTGATTTTTCTAGACAATTGTAAACTATAAACTTTGTATACAGCGATCTTTTCTACACATTTGTAAACAACAAACTCAGTATGCGGTGATCTTTTCTACAAAAAGTTTTTTTTTATATATCATATACACTAAACTCAGAAAAAAAATAAATAAGTAAACCTTTCTATGTGCACTACAAACTCAGTATACAGTGATCCTTTCTACACAAACTTGGTATAACTAGTGAATCTTTCTACTCAAGTAAATTGAAGATTGTATACAAATTTACTACAAATACAGTATACAATGATCTTTTCCACATTTTTTTAGTTTCCGCAATTTGTTGATTCTTCTTTTGTGATGGTAAATATACTGCCGCCTTTAGAGAGTACTGTGACATTAAAAGGCAACATGGTTGTTAGCATCTCCTCTAGTGATTAATCATCTTCAACATCTAATTGGAGGCCAGAAAGAAGGACGTTTTTCTCCACCATAAGGTCCTCAAATCCATTGTTGGTCACCATGGCCAATTCCAACTTAGAAGAATCAATAGAGATACCTTCTACCATTCCAGATTTCATTTCTTCAGGGACATCCACTTGCTGAAAGAGAGTAAGGGAAATAAATAACTATATTTCATTATTGCTATGATTATGTGCAAGAAATATACACTTCTGTATAAGCCTATAGTCTTCCCAATAGGAGTCTATATTAAATATACTGTAATTAATTACTTTGACGTTCAGGACTGTCAAATTATTAAGCGCTGGACAGCTAGCAAAATGATAATATCTTGACCATGGTCATACAGAGATTGAATCATAAAAGTAAATTTGAGTGATAAATCTGTGCAGTATGATAATTTATTTTGACGTTTGTATTTCAAAAATCATTTTGACTTGAAAAGTAATGTGTAATTTAATTAATTACATTGGACCGCCATGTAATGGTTATTTAATTATTTTGAAAATACCTGTAATGGCAATGCCATTTTCATAATGTAATTGTAATTTAATTAATTACATCATCATGTAATTGAACCCATGCCTGTTACAAACAGTAGCTGTCCTAACTGATCCTAAAGTTAACTTTGGCTACGTCTATCACAAAATTAACTTTGGCTATGTCTATTACAAATGCCACATTTAGCTACAGTAGAGGTATTTCAAAAATGTACGTCATTGTAGCTGAAAGGACATAATTAATGGTTACTAAACCAGAACTACAGTTCTGAACAAACCACTACAAAGCCTGGTTAACTGTACTAGGAAAATGTCCTCTCAATTAATCAATTTCATTGATTATCAACATCTTATTGTTGTACTTCCGGTCACTTGAGTTTCTTAAAGTTTCAATTTGACTTTTAATAAGGCCCAAAGTGATAATACTGCAATGTCTTAATAAGCTCTCGAGGGGTATTGGTTAGACTATTTATCCCATTTCATTCCATTCACCATGGAAACAAAACTCTAAAACGCTTAAAAACAGTCAACAATTAATGACAAATATTGAGCCTAGGGCTGTGTAAAATTGATGAATCAAGTGTTGAACTGAAAGTGGACGCAGTTGACATAATATTGAAATTTCTGAGATGAACAAATACAGTACATATATTAAAAGTTCAGGCATAATAAGAATTGTACCAATTACACTTTACACATTCACACTGGGACCTTACACTTTACACATTCACACTGGGACCTAACACTTTGCTAGGTTTATCCTAATCTTCATTAAAACACTTTCCGGGATTCAGATGTTAATTGACATCTTCATTATTCCAAATCTTCATATTGTAATTGTTCACATGCATCACTCTTCAACAGAATCAACGAGACATCATGTCAGAAAGACAAAAACTAAATTTAAGCTAAAACTATACACATTAACTTCATATGTAAACCTTACAATTGGCATAGCTGTAGAGTTCCCGTACGATTTCATACCCTGGACTTGGGGTACTTATAAATTATCTCCGATCAGAAATTTGAAAGAGCTAGATCTACAATAGCACGGACAGTGATCGATATTTTAAAGTAAAATCGATATATTACACAGATAGATTCCTAGATCTATTCACAGTAGCGTAAGCAGTACAGTACAATATTACGGATAAGTTTTTTTCTGTTTAATTTCCGATCTGTTGGGCCACTGACAGAAGTGACTGCGATGAGACCATTTTGAAACGATCATTCAAAAATAAATTCATTTCAAAACACTGAAATACTTTACAGAAGCAACAAAAATGTGCTAGATGCTTACATAACATTTTTCAAACGCATACTGCTTCAAAGGAAAAGTCTTGAAAATATTTTGAAAAAAGTGCCATGGCGGCAGTGCCCAGCTTGCGCGTCGCCGTCCAGCCTAAATTCAATACATGCGATAGCTCATTTCAAATGAGTATTTTGCAAAAAATGCAATTGCTAGTTCAGTATAAGTATTGACTTTAAATTCAGCTTATATATATATAGTGATACTTACCTACATCAAATACCCACCATCTTCTTTCTGCCGCCGTCTTCTTTCAGGGTCCAGCAGCAAAGAGCACCCCGGCTGTTTCCGTCAAAATTTTATGCTACTCTAAATCATTCTTATTTTAGTTTCATTCTTATTTTCAACTATATCTTTCAGTATTTTCAAAAGTTTTCAACAGTATTAAACGGGATGAAAATTTTCGAAAAAGAAAGATATATGACACCCACAATGCATCGCGCGGAAAAGAAAGTTAAGCTGCCATATTGGCATCGCCTCGCAAAATTTACCACCATAAAACGTGAGTCTTCGTCACTGTATTTGCAAATTTCGATGTCTGATTATCATTAATACACAACACAAAACGTTTTCTTGATGTACAAATAATGAAGAAAATGTTGATAAGGTTGTTTCATTTAATGACTAGCATCAGCAACTTGTAGGGGCGATAATCCAATGATTATGGTAATGTCCGGCAGATGGAGTAGGAGTAAACTTTCGATTTATGAACCAATGAAAACAAAGTACTGATACTCAGGGCCAGGGGCGACAGCAACATGCTGAAGAGCATTGAAAATGCTCTTAGCATAAAAAACAACATGAAATTAAGCCTAACAAGTTTCAAAGAAAATGGTTTAAAACTGTGACAGATCTCCACACAAGATTAACATTATAAAAACAACAAGGGGCATTAACTCTTCTAAATACAACCACAATTTCATGTCATAGTGATTAATCCTACCAATTTTTGAAGAAATAATTAAAAAAAAATAAAAAACATGGGACAAGCTCTCCAGAAAGACGGAGAAATCAAGGGACAGTACAAGGTAACTCTTGGCAATTAAGCCTACCAATTTTGAAATAAAGTGCTGAGGGACAAATTAAACATTTATCAGGAAAAAGCATAACTTTGAAAATACAGGGTCACAAGAAAAACCCATATGATATATCTAACTCAGTTTTTGCTTTTGGTATCACCATCTCACATTTGAAAGGAATTCAACAGAGCATTAAAAAGTTCCTGTCTTTTCTACACAGAGCACATATAATCCAATAAAAGGGGCATACATCTGCTAAAACTTGTTTGAGCCAATTAGGTATGATGAGTTGTTAAAGTTTCATTAAAACCAGTTGTTGACAGTCGTATGAAAATGAATGCTCATGCTTTAAACACATCCAGAGATCTGAAAAGTGTCTTTAAGCACTGTCCATTATCCAGAAATCCAATATGATTAATCTGCTAATTAAATTTGATGAAAACATTCCAACAGCAGTATTTAAAGTGGATGAACAAAATCAGTATACAAGTGCTTATTTGTCTCGAGTGATCTGCATCTCCATATCAAAGCAAACATATTTATTGTGTTGTTCTGTATTATTTACATATGAATAATTCAGACCGTGCAAGTAACTATTAACTGTAAGTGGAAATCGAAATGTATATCAAGTGTACTTATTCAGAAATCAGACTCAACAAGTTAAATGAAAAACTTAATCAATTATAAATTCTGAAATATGTGATGGGATACAATGTATTAGCATAGATGTATACTTAGAGAAACTGAGTTCAACATTAAGCTAAAGGGAAGACTTTAACATAGTTAATTACAAACCCCAATTAATGACAAACAATAGGAAATTCAGAATCTGTTATTATGGTCATGTACAGTAAATTGTTATAAGTATATTCCAGGTTTGCTTATGAAAGCAAGAAAATAAGTTCAACACAAAGCTTAATGCAAAACTTTTAACGTTCACTTGCTAATTAACAAAGTTCAATAGTTTAGACTATAATTGTAACTGAAATGATATGCTTGGTGCTCTTATTAGCTTCTTTCAATATTCTACAACACTTTATACAATAAGAGAGATCTAAGTCATTGGAATGTACCTGCTGAGGCTGAACCTGTAAATCCTCTGAATGTATAGTCTCCTCCTGGCTACTTTCAGCATCTGACAATCAATATATATAACACAAAAAAGAGTTACATACTGAATGAAGTGTAATTGCACAGTACTAGAAGAGGTACATCTATTCTTTCAATACATTTGTAAAATTGTTTAAATTAACAGATTTCCGTAGTAATCCAAAACCTCTAGAATATATGATACATTAGTTACACCTACTGCATAATTACAGATCTACATCCATCACATCACAGACACTTGTATTTTTTTTTATGAAACCAATGGTTGCTCTTAATGCTAATTCCATAAAAGCAAGTCTTTTCACTGTTATGGATTGCCTTCCTTCACATGTATTCCAAATGATATCAAAATGCCTTCAGATGTAAAATCATGTTAAAGGTGAAATACTATTATGGGCAAATTCTTCTGTATTACTCACTTTATGAATCATGATTTTTTGCAGAAGCATGCCCAATTAATCTAGGGATCAGAATATATAGAATAAATATCATTCTGATTATACTCAAGCTCAACAAAGTTGATCAATGCTCCATATAAAGCCAATCTTGTTCATCAAAGTCAAAACTATTTGCACTTCATTTCAATAACTTATCACCTTCCAATTTTTTTCATTATGTAATTATCAGTAAGACATTGTAACTAACTACTAAGTAAATATATAACTCACCACTGCAAGGTAGTGTCATTGGCATTTTGATGTTACATATCTCCACTTGATCTTCAGGATCAAATTTTGGCATCCATAGATTGTTACTCCTCCTCTGTGAAAATGCAATGTTACCAGTATTATCCTAGTTGTGGCCTATTGAAAAATGATGTCAGAGAATGTCAGTTCTGATTTAAATTTTTTGGAATTGTACAAAAATGAACATAGATGTTTGTCGTCTAGAGTCTAACACACCATGTCTTCACAAAAGTATCCTGCACACATCTTTGAAAATTATTGTCTAACTCTCCATTTTAAGCGAGCCTTGAAGAATCTTGACAGTACAGTGATCAAATGCATATCGAAGAAGATATTTTTACTGGTGTTGTTAAGTAAGACCATATCAAGTTGTATATCTTACAAGTCCAGGGTCACTTTTTCTGCATGCTTTATTCTGTTTTCTCCTGCTTGCATGATCAAAAGCTCTGCTTGTTACTTTTCTACAAATGAGATCAAAATAGTGAAATAAAATAAAGGTGCATAACATTGATATTCATAGGTAAATTTATATGCAAGTCAACGTAACTCACCTGATAAGTACATTTTACAAGTGCTTGAGCTATAATATCTGATGTATCTATCAATATCAAATAATAAAATCAAATTTAGCCTTCATTTATCTTTATAAATACATGTATTTCAACAAATATTTATCCAACCACAGACTTCAGACATTTATTGTTGCTGTACCTTGACTTCTCTAGTTGCACAACATCTTCTGGCCCTCCTACTATGTTCTTCAAAACAAAATGGAAGTCTTTGTTTGTGATTTCACTACATATAACTAAATAAAAGTATGGCAATTTTAGAACAAACTATAAATACACTTCATAAGATAACAAAATTGATATTGAAATAACTAAGTTATAGAACATAAGGTCAATAAGGACCCTGCTATCTGCCTAACCATATACACAGAGGCATATAATCATCTAGCAGAATACACAAGGCACCAAAACACAGAAAAAAGATTCTTTTAACTTTGTGATCCACTGGTCCATTATCTTTAAACCAGTAAATTGTAGGATGAATCATACAATCTTTAAACAAGCGAGAAATAATAAAGTACAATTATTCAACACAACTTAAAATCCAACTTTGGGCTCTAGAATTATATAGTATGATGCATTTTTCTGAAAACTTAGGCACAGTTACCATAGTAACCAACTTTGTATTTTTCAGACAAGAATAGTGTTGTGCACATCTAAACATAGTCACCAATATTTTGTGTCATGAAACACTGCCAGGCAATCTTTTAGAAACCTTTAGCAACTGAAGTTTTGAAGAATAGATTGTGAGTTAGACAGACATATATATGTACAGACATCTGCTCTGATTTGTTAACTGTCTAGGGACCATTTTCTAATTTTTGAAATTGATCAATCCTGTGAAGCTCCCTTCATTGAGTGAAACTCAAATTACTGTGTTGAAATAAAATTTCTATTCATAGTAAACATGACTGTGACCTAACTTGACAATTTAACTTTAAGCAATCCAAAAATACCTGAAGTAATACGACACATCAGAAAGTGCCCTGCAATTTGTCAGACTTAAGCCTAAGCTCAACAAGAAATTTACACTGATAGAGAATTAGTGCTTTCATGTATGATAGCATTAAACCTGGAATCGCAAATGATACAATTTGAACATGTGTGATATATGACAGACGTTTATAAGTTTGAGAACTGTGACTATAATTCCTAAAGAAATAAAGCTGCTAGAGCATTGACAAGAATTTTCTAAAATTAGCAATGGTGACCTTGATTTTACCCTAGAACTCTGAAATTTGAACCAAACTGAAATATAGAAGTCCTTCACTATTGTGTGAAGTTTGGAAAGTTTGATGAAAATCCCTCCATAAATGAAGCCATTAGAGCACTGATAAGAATTTTCTTAAAACAGTAACAGCAACCTTCTTCCTGAGATATAATCTTTTATAAGCATAAGAATTTTGATCAAAATCCCTCAAAGACTGAAGCCAATAGAGGATAAGGGTAAGGTAGATTCTTCATGATGGGATAATAAGCTTTGATTCATTAGGAAGACTTTATTGAAGAAACAGAATGCTGACAATGACATCCGACTATCACACATTTTCTTGTTTCATTTTGATCTTCCTAGTTCATAATGTCACAACAGATTTTTTGAGTAAAAATATCTCATTTGACCTCGATTTTCAACCCAGTGACCTTTACTTTGATGAACTTCTTATTGATCAACTTTCTTTCATAATACTATGAAAAATATTAACCAGTTCCTTTTTCTATTTTTGTTCAACTAATCAAGGATGCCATTTGGGAGAACTCTGACAAACAATAACCACCAAGTTGATCAATCAAAGAGAACTCATCACATCATCCAGAATTGGTTCTTCGGAATGACCGAGTAATGGAATGATATTGTATTACAATATGTCTTTCTGATTCATTGGGGATAACAAGTCTCTCACAGATCCTCTTATAGCAAACAGAAAAAGTTAACCTGCAGGCAGTCATACTCAGGTGATCTACTATCAGATAAAAGAACATAAACCAACCTTGCAAAACTGGTTAAACCTTGTAATAATGTTGTTTACAGGTGGCAGCTCCTCATTCAAATTATCATCACCTGAACTACAATGGTAATGATATAATATTTAGTGGAAATTCATTGATGAAGAGGTTTATGTGTGTGCTCATTCTAGGAAGTCACATTTCCAAACAAAACATGAAAATCAATATCACAACATTTGTTAGGAAATAATCCCTGAAATATTACTATGACATTTGTAAGGAAATAATCCCTGAAATATTACTATGACATTTGTAAGGAAATAATCCCTGAAATATTACTATGACATTTGTAAGGAAATAATCAGTGAAATATTACTATGACATTTGTAAGGAAATAATCCCTGAAATATTACTATGACATTTGTAAGGAAATAATCCCTGAAATATTACTATGACATTTGTAAGGAAATAATCAGTGAAATATTACTATGACATTTGTAAGGAAATAATCCCTGAAATATTACTATGACATTTGTAAGGAAATAATCCCTGAAATATTACTATGACATTTGTAAGGAAATAATCAGTGAAATATTACTATGACATTTGTAAGGAAATAATCAGTGAAATATTACTATGACATTTGTAAGGAAATAATCACTGAAATATTACTATGACATTTGTAAGGAAATAATCAGTGAAATATTACTATGACATTTGTAAGGAAATAATCAGTGAAATATTACTATGACATTTGTAAGGAAATAATCAGTGAAATATTACTATGACATTTGTAAGGAAATAATCCCTGAAATATTACTATGACATTTGTAAGGAAATAATCACTGAAATATTACATTTTCTCTTGTAGCAAAAAATTTATCAAAAAATTACCTGCATAACTGATCATCAGAGATTTCTGAGTCAAGAATTTCAATTTCTTCAGAAAAGGAAGCCTTTCTCATTTTCCTAGGCACCTGATCAGAATACCTCTTTGTTACTTTGAATTTTGGTTTTGTCATAGATTTGGATGTTGCTGACCTACATTTATAATTGCTATCAGTATTTTCCTTTTCACTTTCACACTGCAAAACACAATCTTTAACTTCATGCCTTTCCAATTTTGCTGGTTTTGGTTGATTGCCTCGATGTGCATGATGTTTGAAGCATGGGAGTTTATCAGTATTTCCGTTAAGTCTTGAAATACCAATGACTTCATCCAAGGTGATTTCACAATGTGGTATTTTTACTGGACTAGAAGAATCACCTTTAGAAAGACAAAGCCCATCATGATGATCATACTCTTCATTTTCATTTAAATCTTGACAAGTGCTTTTATTTCTTTTCCTTCCTAAAAATCTGGCCATTATTCGATTAACATTTTTTGTAGGCATTTCTTTTTTTTGATGTTCCTTTTGCTGTTTATGTGTTTTAGATGTAGATCTATTTTTTAAAAGACATCCTGAAGATGGACTCTTTGAATAGACAGAGACATCATCATTGTTCACCACATTCACAATTTTTCGTGAATATTTTGGAAGGGTTTCTTTTGTATTTTGGACTAAACTTTCCTTTGGGCTTAAAGCGAAATTGTTATCATCAACCAATTCAGAAACAGAATCAAGATTCTCTTTCGATGACTGAACAATGACTTCCTTACAAGCTGAGTTTCTCTTTTTTAATGAGACATCAAAGTTTTGGGGTGTTTGAATTTTTCCTTGTTTAGCATTTGAATTGCCTTCATGTCTGCAGAATTTTTCAGATTTTGTGGAAGATCTTGCACATTCTTCATCAAAATCATATGGATCTCCATAAACATCTTCTCTTCTCTCTGTTGAAGAATATGACATGGCTAAATATACCAGATTTTTACCCTTTCCATATTCTACTTCACAAGACTTTTTCGTTTGAACACCAGCAGCAGACATACAAGTACTCTGCAAGTCATGCTTCTGATATGTTGAAGGTCTCAATCTATCTTTGAAAAATTTCTTCTGGCTTAGAGATTTTATTGCATTTTCTTGTGATAGATTGGTATTGAACAATGGAAGTGAATTCTCATCTGACTGTGAACAGTCCTCTTTCCCATCCCATTCCATTAGCTGGTTTTGTCTATTCTTGAGACTGCCATGTCCTTCTGCTGCATCAAATCCTTGATCCTGGTTCTTTTGAGTAAAAAGTTCCTTGTCCTTTGTGCTGTTATGTTCCATGTTGCACCTCAGAGGGGAAAGATTTTCTTTATTTTTTCCTCTAACAAAACCCTCCTCACCGCTACTTATATCTTCCACAGGGTTGGATGTTAGTTCTTGCATATAGTTTCTTTTTCTTTTCACTAGCTCTACAAGTAAGGGCTCTTTCAAATCATCTTTGTTTTCATTTCTAGTCAATTTTTGACTCTTCAAAACTTCATCCCCCTCAGGATAAAGGGAGCTATGTATTACCCCACTGTCACTGACATCCTCAGACTCTGGGTCAGATTCTCTTAAGTCACATTTCTCAACATTTTTCCTCTGTCTATTTGACTTTCTTTTCCCAGTATGTTTCTCAAATGAGCCAACTTTGATTTCCTCAGATATGCTTCTCCCTTTGTTTTGCCTTGTTTTCCATTTCTGCATGTTTGCATTGCCATTTTTATCTTTTGTATCAAAATCCATCATCTTTGATTTCATTGATTTGATCTTCTTCATTTCTCTTGATTTAAAACCCTTTTTGAGAACTAAACCATTTTCACTTTGCATTTTATCTTCAGACTCACTATGAACATCACTATCATATTCATTAAATTTCCTTTTCTTATCATTTACAGTGTTTTTGAGTATTCGGTGTTCCAGTTTTGATAATTTACAAGATTCTTTTTTCTGTGTAACTTTTTGCTTTGGTCTGCCAGATTTTGATTTCCTGTTGTTTGGAAAGTGTTTTCCGGTTTGTTCTGTTAAAGGTTTAATCTGTCTGTCATTGTCAGAATTGTCCTTTTTCTCTGCATGATTCACTGTATACATGTTTTTTTCACTAAAAGGATTCAGGTCTTCTGTTAAGTGATTTTTTTCCAAATGTTCCATGCAACCTTTATCTCCATCTCTATCACTACAACCTATGAAAGAAAGAATTTCATTTTCTTCATCAAAATTCTCCACATCTTCCTCAACATTATCTAATGGTGTCGACACCAGTATTTGTTTCTTCTCATTTTGTTTTCCCCTTGTTAGTGGTTTCATTGAAGGTAATTTGTCTTCATTTCTGGATTTTATTCGATCCACAACTCCATCTTTTTCAGGGCCAAATGAGCTTTGTATTACATCTATTTCCTCAACAACATTTGGATCAGTATTAGGTTTCTTGGTACAGCTTTTTGACACAGTTTTTCTTCGTTGTCTTTTTGACCTTGTTTGTCTACTACTCTGAACTGACGAAGTGATGTCAGCTTCTTCTTTACTCTGCTTTTGCAATCTTTTATTTCTTGATTGTAACATTGTTTTATTTATGACAACCTCATCATCACTATCAAATTTGGATTTTGATTCTTCACTCTTAGATGCACTTGACTTTCTGTTTTTTTCTTTCTCTGATTCTAATTCCAATGGTTTCATTTGCAGAACACTGACTCCATCACTTATACATGGAAGTGTTATGCCCTTTTCAATTTCACTTTGAACATCAATCCTACATTTGACAAATTTATCAGTCTTACAATTACTTGATTGTGTTTTTGGAGCAAAAGAACTTCTCATCTGATCCACTTCATTGAAATCATAAACATCTAAATCAGCATTTTTTGAATAATTTTTCTTGGTTTGCAATTCCATTTGGTTTTTTCGTTTTGATCGTTCATTCTGCTCAGCATCCTTATCCCCTTCAGAATTTGCAACTATACCATCCGCAGTAAAAGCCATCAAGTTTTCATTGGGATCAGGAATATCAGAAGAGGTTGATATGGGCATTGTTTGCTCAATGTTTTTGTTGATGTCAGGTGTTTTTTTAAGATTGCCGGATTTACATTTCCTACTTTTCTTTCCAAATATTACACTGGCATTCATATTTTCAATCACTTCATCACCATTTACATTATCTAAGTTAGACTCATTTGATGTCATTTCATTTGTTGCATTATTTCTTATTTCATTTTTGGATCTTTTTTTCATGTCTTTTTTACATCCAGTTGTAATTTTGTTCATTGTACAGCTCAACTCCTTGCTAACAGATCCAGTAACACTTGCAATTGGGCTGCTTTTTTGTTCATTTTCAAACTTTTCAAAGTCACATGAACTCTGAATCACATCCACTTCATTTTTGTTAATGATCTCCTGGTCAGGAAAAATTTTCCTCTTTTCAAAATCTTTTCCTCTTTTGGATTTCAAATTTTTTTTCATGCAGATTTGTTGAATTTCCTTTGTAGCTTCCGAATTTTCCATTTTCTTTGTTTTAGTGTTGTGTATATCGGATGTAGAAGATTGATGATAATTCTCTTTACCTTGTGGCTCTTCTGAAGTTTTGCTATCAGAGTCCTTTGGCGAGCATTCATTCTTTGTGTATTTTTTTGAGGAAGATATCCTATCCAGTTCCATCGAATAAATTTCTTTGCAAGTATCCTCATTAACAAGACTGTCTTGTGAATTGATTACACAATCTTCTTTGGTTGCTTTGAATTCTGCTGACTTCTCAGGTATACCATTACTTTGCTGGTTTCCATGAGCATTACCCTGATTTTTATTTTTAAAAGTTTTAACCTTCCTCTTTCTTGAAGCAACTTCATGCAAGAAGTTTTTAGTTGTGAAATCAACATCTCTATCATTTTTGGAGACGCTGCAAACTGAAGAAGTGTTTTTGGCTTTTTCTTGTGTCTTATTATCAAAGGTGTTTTTTTTCTGAAAGACGATTGCTCTTGTTCTAGAATAAAAACATACATATTTGATACATACATGATTGTGTTATAACAACTACTATTCTATATATATATTTAAGACCAAGGAAACAAGCATTATCTGTTTAAGTGTTATCCATTTATTCGTTAATGGTAACCTTGCTTTTGACCATTAAGACTTAATAAACAAACTTAGAAAACCTTTGTCATCACTACCTTACAACACTCCAAAAATGATTTTTTTTAATGCAGAAGATTTAAAACTGTACTTGATATTAAACAGACAACAGAATGTGGACAGATACTGACAGTATTAAATTTTACAGCAAACACACTTCTCTGTTGTAGTTGTCAACATCACATTTTATAGATAATCATATAATAGTTTACCTGTATCCTGCATGACAACTCATGTTGTTGTCTTTTCCTGGACATGAATCAGGGATGACAACTGATTTCTTTTTTTTTTGTGCTATTGCTTTTTTTCCAAGTTTTTCTTTAAAAAGAAACAAAAATAATAACTCTTTGAATTCTAACATACAAATTCAACACAGACTGGAGTTATTTCATCCTTCTGTAATCTAACAAACTTCCATCCTTGACTAAACAATTTAAACAAGTATCCTACACTCCATGCAGAAAGCACTTACACGTCAGATATGTAATTCTACATGATATATACAACAAAACATTTACCTGTAATGCCTTCAAATTGAATTACATCACTCAAAGTCATAATGATCTAATAAAAAGTCATGCAAAGAGATGAAACATGATTTTTAGAACTAACCTTGATGTTTAGAAGATTTCACCAAAGGTTTAACTGTAGTCAGTTTCTTTTTCACAGTCCTTCTTCTCATTTTCCTGTCATTTGGAGTCAAAACAGCTACAGGCGTTTTTACTTTCACTTTGCCTGGACCTCTCATAGTTGGAGTTTCTGGGGTAGGAATTCCTACAAAATATTCATTCCACTTCATTTGATATCCACTTATTTTGTGCACACAATTAAGATCACAAGTTTACTTCTGAAGAGACAGAAATTATTTTGGCAATTTTCAATTTTTGATCAGTTGCCACAACACTTTTATACAATTATAAATATCTTATGAGAAATTAATTTCTAGCCCTTGTAGTGATAAGCACTGCTACAGAATTTGCAGTAGGGTGTGTAATACTATGTCTTATTTAATGCAGTACTGTTTTCAAACATTTCAATTTGAAGTGCTAATATCAGTGATATTGAATGCATTATATACATATGAACTATAAACAACCTTTACCCATAGAAGTAACAGGGCATATACCACAATTTTTATTTGGGTTTTGATGAAGGACTTTTAAAGAATTGATCAAATATAAATCTAATTTCTCCTATCGGATGTTATCCTATTGGCCAAAATGGAGATCAGCCTCATGGTCTATATAAAGTTGACACACCTTGCACAGAGATGCTTCTGGCCAAATTTGGACAATATCTTTTCATTCTTTCAGAAGACAGATTTTAAACAACAGACTATATTTCCCTTATTGTGTCCTGCTTCTCTGGTCCTATAGGCTTCATACCCACTGTTTATACAAAATTGAATCCCTTCATCAAAGGATGCTTCTTATAAAGTTTAGTTGGGGCAATACCCTTTAATTTCTTTAAAAAGAAAACAATGATTTTAAAAGGATTTTGAAGAATTTTACTAAGTTTCTTATAGGGCCTTTGACCCTATGGACCCAGAAGGGTCATACCCGATCTTTATACAAAATTGAGTCCTGTTAAGCCAAGAATGCTGCCAACTAGATTTTGACAACATCCTGTCATTCCTCCTGATAAAAAGGGACATAAAAAGAATTCACGAAATTTTCCCTTTTTGGCTCTGCTCCCTAGGCAACTGAAAGATAATCCCTGCATTTTGTACTTGTTTCCATCCAAATATGAATGATAGCTTGAATTCTAGAGAAGTTGTTTATAACAATATAACTAAATATCCTTGTTTAAGATCAACCCCTCAGCACAATGGAGGTCACCCAACCAATCTACATCATCACAACTCCGTTTTGTTCAACAATGTGTGTTCATAACACATTTCTTTATTATAACAGTTTCAAAATATACAAAATCAACTGATTTCTTTCCTTCAAAATTCACCTATAAATCTTTTACAAGTTATTAAGCATAGAAATGCCATAATGTTGAAAGAATGTTAACAACAGACTGTTTTTCACACCATAAAAGCATCTAAGTGATAGTCAAGCTAAAACCATCTAATATTTCATTTCTCTTCGTTTTTCAAATTTTACCTGTAGACTTTGAATGGGTTGTTTTCAATGAATTTGAAAATCCCAAACTAACACATGATACTGTCTCCGACACCTTCGACATCAAAGGATAAGCTTGTTCATCACAGAGTGGTATCCCTTCCTGTTTATCATCAGCACATATCTCCACCTCTGGTTCAGCAGTCTCCTCCATTTCTTGGGGCTGTAAAGACTTCATATATTTCATAGCAATAGCCTGAACTGGATCTATGACAGAATTCTGGGAACTGTCTAGGAGTACAACTGGAGCAAATGGCACTGATACTTTCACCCTGGTAGGATAGTTAGGTAGCATGGACTTTGATGGACAAGTCTGTACTGTGGAGGTGTTTGGAATAGTCCTAATTTCTTCATCCAGTTCATCATAGTTATTGTCCTTTTAAAAATATCCATTCAATGTGTTTATTTATGCAAAACATACACGATACTTTTAATTTTTAACTATTGATACGCTGAAGTGGTTTTAATTCATGATGAAATATCATTAACAATTACTAGCAAATTTTGAGTTGCAAATGAAAATTGATTCTCCTTCAGAAAACTTCTCTCCAATTTTGTGCTATAGAAATATATAACTATTTAAATCTTACCAAAATCAATGTAAAAGGTAAATTCAATATTCCAGGAATCAGCATACTTTTCATTAAATACCAGATTTTCAGAGCTATTAACAGAAATTATATCATTGAACAATTAACAATGAAGCGATTAACTTTTGATACAAACCTTTTCAAAGTCAGGACTGTCTCTTGCTCTAACACATAATGAATTGGTAGGTAAAGAAACCTTTCCTTTCAATTTCTGTAAACAAACAAATTTATTGGAAAATCAAAGTACTGAAAGTACTGGTATGCTAAGACCATTAAAAAAATAATTTTTTTGTTATTAGCTTGCTATATACTGAAACCAACTATATGCAAGCAGTAAATCATTGCAGCCCATAAAAAATGACCAGCAGATATCAGAAATAACAAGCATAGTAGTATTACTTATGTAATACATGTCCCAAGTAGGCTCCAAGATGCAATGATAGGGAAGTTGTCCATTTCTTTGGATACATTGTAGGAAATGTTCATCTTGGACACCATATTATCACTTTAAAGACTGCGTATCTTATTGGTTTAAGACCATTAGTTAGACCATCATGCAAATAACATGCTACATACAAATATTAGGCAGCTTCATTTTCCAGATTGTCTGTAAATGACTGCACAAGAGTGCCAATTTTCTAAAACAAACATGATATGTCACCATAAAAGATGCCTGTTCTTTCGGAACACTTGGTCTTATTCTCCTTGTACTTTTTCAGGGAATCTTCGAGTAGATATTGTCTGTTTCAATTTTACACTTGTTTTGCTGGTTCTACAATTCTGTTGACATGTTTATATATTCTTTGTTCTCTAAAACTTGTCGCAAGATATTTTATTCCTCTTGTATTATCATTTTCACATACTAACAGTGACCTTGAACCTTGAAATTTGCAAGATGTGAATATCTTTTAGGTTGTGAAATTTGATAGAAAAATGAGGGTAATGCAAAGAACACCCCTATGCATCTATCCGTTTTTTGACTGTGACCTTGATCTTTGACATCTGACCCTGAATTTCTAAAGAAACTGACTTCTCATAAGGGATACATGTTCCAAATTTGATTAAGGTATACTGTCTTAGTCTCAATGCGTTTACAAGGTAATCATATAGTACTTATGCAAGTACTGTGACCTCTACATTCAATCCTCAAAATCATTACTATATCCTCTCCACATTGCCCAGGGATAACTGAAACTGTAATCCAAATGATAACTAATACCCCCAACACCCACAGCCTTAGCTATCTCCCCATGGTGACCTTTTGCACAGAAACATCCTCTGAAACACAGCGGCATGTGCACGTTCCCCAACATTCCTGCAAAGTTTTGTTGAAATTGGTCCACAGGTTTAGAAGTTGACCGACGAGCAAAACCCGTCTATATTGACCAGTTGCCATGGCAATCGATATTTCGAGGGAAAATGGTGCATGCACATCTACACAGTGTCCCGAATATTACTGATAAGTTTCATTGGAGTTGTCCAGACAAGATGTGTCTACAGACAGACAAACAGATGGATGGACTGATAGACAACCTGATTCCAGTTTACCCACCCTTTTGGTGGTATAAGAATGCACAAGAGTGCTTACAAATTCCATGTGGACAGACATTATGGAAAAATAATAATAATAATAATAAAACATGATACAGATGCTTATATCTTGTTTTATTCAGTTTTTAGATACAGAATTCTTTCCATGCTTTGATCAGCAATGTAATCTTGTCATGTCAATATCCTAGTACAAGATTGCATACACAAAATTGTTGTAGGTAGACTTTTAAGATACATAAAAAAATACATGCCTAAGTTTAAATGAAGGTTTTAAACAGAAGTCGTATTATGTTCAATATACAGTGATTTTTCTAGACAATTGTAAACTATAAACTTTGTATACAGCGATCTTTTCTACACATTTGTAAACAACAAACTCAGTATGCGGTGATCTTTTCTACAAAAAGTTTTTTTTTATATATTGTATACACTAAACTCAGAAAAAAAACAAATAAGTAAACCTTTCTATGTACACTACAAACTCAGTATACAGTGATCCTTTCTACACAAACTTGGTATAACTAGTGAATCTTTCTACTCAAGTAAATTGAAGATTGTATACAAATTTACTACAAATACAGTATACAATGATCTTTTCCACATTTTTTTAGTTTCCGCAATTTGTTGATTCTTCTTTTGTGATGGTAAATATACTGCCGCCTTTAGAGAGTACTGTGACATTAAAAGGCAACATGGTTGTTAGCATCTCCTCAAGTGATTAATCATCTTCAACATCTAATTGGAGGCCGGAAAGAAGGACATTTTCTCCACCATAAGGTCCTCAAATCCATTGTTGGTCACCATGGCCAATTCCAATTAGAAGAATCAATAGAGATACCTTCTACCATTCCAGATTTCATTTCTTCAGGGACATCCACCTGCTGAAAGAGAGTAAGGGAAATAAATAACTATATTTCATTATTGCTATGATTATGTGCAAGAAATATACACTTCTGTATAAGCTTATAGTTTTCCCAATAGGAGTCTATATCAAATATACGGTAATTAATTACTTTGACGTTCAGGACTGTCAAATTATTAAGCGATGGACAGCTAGCAAAATGATAATATCTTGACCATGGTCATACAGAGATTGAATCATAAAATTAAATTTGTGTGATAAATCTGTGCAGTATGATAATTTATTTTGACGTTTGTATTTCAAAAAAAAATCATTTTGACTTGAAAAGTAATGTGTAATTTAATTAATTACATTGGACCGTCATGTAATGGTTATTTAATTATTTTGAAAATACTTGTAATGGCAATGCCATTTTCATAATGTAAT